AGACGATAAATAGTCGATAACTAATTGATCAATTTACGATTCTCTCTCTTGTATTTCAAGGTTCTTTCTTGTGTTTCAAGATTCTTTCTTTTGTATTTCAAGATTCTTTCTCTTGTATTTGAGGACGCTGAAGGTCTGCTCTGAAGTATCTCTTAGTACAACTGAATTCGCTTCTTTCTCGAAAGCGTCTCTCTGTCAGTCCGGAATATTTTTGCCGCTTGCCGCTCTTTATATATATGAATATATTACAGCATTTTCACGGGACTCATCAAAATCTATGCAATTTAAAGGGACACTGTCAATAGATGACATGCGCGAGTAAACTTGAAAACACTAGGCTAGTGTTTTCAAGTTTATGACTCCAAGTTGGCGCGACATAAATCAGATCGTAAACGTCAACAGATCTAGAATATTCCAAAGTGTGTCAAAAGCACCACAAAATGATTTACCTCGAAGGTTATACTTTCAAAGTCCGTTGGAGGTGAGACTGTTACTGCGCATGTCATCCATTGACAGTGTCCCTTTAAGCTAAGTAAACTTCGTTAACTAAGTAAATAAATAGATCGCGGTCCATTAATTTATAACCTAAGATTACGTATTTCGTTACAGTGTTTCAATCGATTTTGAGGACCACAATACATAGCGGCAAATCAAACACAAGTACAGAACTTTGTTATATCGTAATCAAGTGTTTTCACTTCCAGCTTGGTGGTTTTAGACTTCCAATGATATTCATCGGTGGATTGCTACTTGCTGTTTTACCCTTAATGTGGTTACTTTTACCAAGAAAAGGTTTGTGGGAGGAATCCCCAAAATATCCAACATCACTAGCCTGAAAAGGAGAAAAAGAAAAGTTCATTTTTTAATGAACCCTTAAAGGGTTTTAGCATGTAATATATTTTGAAGGAGTAATTTTGTGGTAATTTCAATCCAGACCAATCAATGTTAAGAATCACAATGTGCAACTTTGTAATCTTTGAAAAATTTGAAGAATTTGAAGAATTCTTACAATAAGCAGCGAAAAAAAGATAAAAAATGTCTTACATCTTTTAAGATCTTTTAGAATATCTCTCAATTGAAASCCATTAAAAATTTAATGACCCGTCCCTCAGTGAAACAAAATCATAAAGAATCAATGTTTTGTCAAGCTGCAGGTTTCATGCATACTATTAGAGAATGTTGACAATTGACATAAAACAACTCCCTTTAACTTCTTGTTTTTGTAACTTTTGAATCAAAACTGACAATAAACATGAATCATTAAGGTATTGACAGCAAACTGTTTCCGCAACATTATCGATATTTCTCACTAGAATACAATATACGTCACAAACAAAGACATGGGTTAATCCTTTTCAAGAAAATCATCTCAATTCCAGGAGTCGTCATGATGTGTAAGTTTAGTCTTCCTTGCTCGACCTACATAAAATGTTTGTCAGATTCAAACACGCAGGATCAACGAAATTGAACAATTAATTGCTCTGAAAATTAAAGTTTCGATATTTAGAAGATATAGAATGTCTAGAGAAAGGGACGTCTCTTTTTCCCCATGTGACCTGTGAAGTCAGAAAGTCGACCAATCCGCGACAAGAAACTCCCTTCCTCCGGCGACACTCCCTGTTGCTAAACTCACATTCTATAACTAAAACTGATGTTGATCTATATAAGTTATTATTTGTTTCATAGTGTCATCCCCTTTTGCTTTTGTGCTGACGGCCATCAGTTGATCATCGTAGTTGATAATCTTATATCTGTCTTCAGGTTTCTCGGCTTATGATTGTTTCATTGGCATCACGTTTTTTCAACCAGCTTTGGAGATTCACGCCAAAACAGTTAGTATACAAATATAGAATAAATCTATGACTGTGCAATTGCACGGACGACGCACGATGTACTCGTGAAGTCCGATGTCAGGCAGTTTTCAGTTGCACAATTATAGGAAATGATTTCTATTCTCATTTTTGYTATTTTCTCTGCCCAGAACAATGGCAGCTGTTAGATTCCGACCACGAGGAGGACATTGATGTTAACCAGTTTAGCTCTGGTTAAAATCATAAATTGAATAGACACAAATGAACACGACATTTATATATTGAGATTCGTTACTGTTTGTTAGTAAAAAGATACAATATAAAGTACGGTATTTAGTACTGAATAAAGTGTCTTGTTAATAAACACGTCCCCGAATAGACGCCGTCCTCAAATAAACGCCGCAGCTGGATCGTGAAAAATGAAATAAACGCCGCGGCGTCTGTTGGAGTAAAWACGGTAATGATAAACTAATAAAAGACTAAATTGACGGGAGATTAATCAAAAAAATAATTTTTCACAGTTTATTTGGCACAGTTTATTTTATGGACCAGTTTGATTACATTCCCAAAGTTTAAGCTAAAACTATGAAGGCAGCACTGAGATATAGGGGTGGTTGTCTTGAAACTGGGCTGGGCTGGTCATCTTCATGTTTAAGCATAGCCAAAGAACTTTAGGTAGTTGAGCATGGTCAATGGTGCAGATTTCATCTATGGAGGTTGAATTTGCTGGCGAAGGCTGGTCACGTGACTAGCACTGGGTAAAAACCCTAGCCCAAAGCCCTGATGTAGCCCTAGCACAAGTCTCACCCTAAGCCAAATCTCAACCCTAGGTCTAAAACAACAGTCCTAACCCTAATCATGTGTTAACCCCAACCGCAGTTTTAACAAATAGTGCGAAAAATCACTGGTCACGTGACCAGKAATTAAACCTSTTGAAATGTTTATATAATGTCATTTTAACAAATCTGCTACAAGCATCATCCCTTTCAGCATTTTAKACACACCCATGAACTTGACTTAAAATASAACTAACTTATCACGACTCGCTGCCATTGCTATTGTAAGGGGGACTTGGAACACGATAGATCATCAACAATTAGCTAACTTAGTAACACTGACGTTATGTGATGTTTTTGTTCACCAGGTTCTCATACTAACCAGTTTTCTTTTGTTAGTTCGGTTTTAGTCAGGGGGGAGCTGCTCTTCTTTTCCTTTGCACCTCTGGGGCATATACAATAGGTGCTCCGCTTGCTGGTTTTTTCCTGAACAAAAAGGTAAAAAATAAAAATAAATAAAAAGAATTGAATAAGCATTTTCGAGGGAAGTGTTTTAATTCTAGTACTAGAATAGAGATTCATAATTTTTCGTACTAGTTCGTTTTCATTGTTATCCTTTTCCTATCTTTCATTGTTCTAGTATCTCACTCTCTTAATCATCGCTGTTTGCATGATCTGCAGGTACGCGGCACGCACAGCAAACAGCACGGTCGTCGAATGGCTGTGTTTAACCCGGCATTAATTGTCGACATCATAGGAAACATTTAATTTAGAGAACATCATAAATATCATTGCACGAAATTACGCTATATATTTAAGGTTATCATTGAACTACTGATCGCTATGACATATTTTTGCTTTGCTTTGCTTTTAGCCATGGGGAAGAATATCGATCGTCGCTGGATCACTTGGCGCTGCATGTGGTATATTATTCATGGGACCTGCACCATTTTTTGCTCAAGTCCTTCCTGAAAAGTAAAATATATCACTGTAAAATATGCGATAGAGAAGCCTTTTATTTTCATACTATAATAAGATTGACAATGTCTCATTTTGACTACGAGACTGACACAAATTAATTTAAATTAAATTCTTCGTAAATGATAATAACTTTAAGGCATAAGCTGAGAGAGTTTTGTAAAGAATTCATTGGAACTAGTGAACTCGTTGTTATTTTCCCCATCATGTAAAGAACCACGAATTTTTACTACTAACAATTTTCAGAGCTGTGTGGTTGCTGGTTGTTTCTCTTTTTGGTCGTGGACTTTTCAATGCTTGGTTCTTTGTTTCTATTCTTCCTGAAATGTTTAACTGCTGTCAGTAAGTATAGATGTTTGTACTTAGAATGTATGGAGCTCTTGAGCACAGTCCCCCAAAACCATATATTTCTTTTATTTTTTGCAAATTTCTAAAGATTGGTACTCGGTGAGTATTTAACTAAAAATTGTCAAAATTGACAAGAACGCTAACCTGTTTATAGAATGGTCCTTTGTCTGTTGAGGTTCAGTTGAAGAAGACTATTTCTAGTGGCAAAAATCATAGGAAAAAAAATTTGTTATCCAGATGAAATTTCTGATTAACAAAAACCAGTCAGAAAGTGTAACTGTCTGTCAAAAATATTTTATTTACCGATACTGTCTGCAACCTTTTTTAGAGAAGCGGGCTTGCATCATAGTTTGCAGCTAGACTCCATGGTTTCTTGTTTATATACTGGCTTCATCAATTTAGGGTGAGTACGTAGCTAATAACATGTTGTATTATACGACTAGTTATGAATATTAATGTATTAATTACTACTGTATGCAGAAATTATGGTCATTTTGACTCATATTCCAAGTATATATGAAATATATCAGAAATTATGGGATATCATGRCCAATATTTGTTTGAAGWTGYCWAGGCACTAGTACTTTCTGAAAWTGTAATGGCGAWKATATCCAATAATGTCTGATAGTTTAATGTATACTTGGAATAAGAGTCAAAATGATCATAATTTCTGCAGCCATATTACTGTAGATTTTTAGAGATTCCTACGTATAAATGTCGTTCTTTCTCGGAACCTAGAAAAAGTTTGATCAACGAGTCGCGCTGTGTGGTTGGGATATCGAAAATCGTATTGCATTTCTGCTGGGTAGAAGTTACCACGAACTCCGAAAGAAGAAGTCGAGTTTCAAGGAGTTTCGATCTAAGTAATACTAACTTTGAATAACTTACTCACTAAGGTTAAATAAATGGTTTTTTGTAAGTAGATTAAAAATATCATGACTCTACTATTCCAGATATCAACAAGTGTGGGGGGAGATTTAGTGACAACTATTACTAGTTTTATACAGGCCAGAAATCGGTATGCTGTATTTTTAACGTGAAAAATAACGATACTTCCAATCAGAACCGCGTACATAGCGATTCTTACGTGTGAAAGTATAACTAATCATAACACAGAGAAATTACAATCAATTTTTCGAGACTTCCGGGATCTTTATATAGGGGTCTTTCGAAAATTTCCGACGAGCATCACATGTAGTTTTACCCCGCCGGAGTCCCCTCCCCCCGGGAGTTTATAAACTTGTTAAAGAGATATCCCTAAAAAAAATCTCGTTATACATATTAAAACAGATTATAGTATGGAAAGTGCTTTGTACGAGTTTTTATTCACTCACTGTTTGCATCATAAACTCGCTCGCTCGTTCGCGTGATGTACTTGCTCCCTTGCACTTTACATGAAATAATCTATACGAATTACGAATGCATCAATTTTTTAAAATTGATGCATTAATTAATTGATTAATTAATTAATTAATTAATTGATGCATTAAAAGTAAGTATTGTTGATCCATTACAGATCATTTGTCGGTCCCTTTGCTGGTGGTTTTATGAACAATTACCTCGGATTTCCTTGGAGTACAGCTGTAAGTACATAGCAAAGACAGCGATGAGTTAAAGATCTTAATTAATTGCTTCCTAAATGCAAGGAATAGTAATAAAGTGTGTGAAGAGAGCAATATAAGTGTATTTTACAAGCCAATGCAACAAAAAAAGTCATGTAAACAATAATTAGAAAACGGCAAAGTTAACGTTTTCCCCGTCTTTTCGGTGATTACATAGTTCTATTTTTCATTTCACTTTGTATCACGGATCATTGAAACCCATTCTATCTGAACATCTTTATATTTCAGATCGTCTCTATTTTTCTGGCAGCAAAGGTAATTTATACGATTRATTATTTTCACTTCTATTGGCTTCATAAAAATTGGTAATGCACATTTTTTTCTCTTTTTAGGCTCTGGTCGCTGCAATTTTTTTTGCTTATAACAGGTACTGTCAAAGTAGTAATGATGTATCAATAAAACAAAACAAACACCGAAAACTAGAGAAAATAATAAACAGGCAAAAACTATAATTTCAAATATTCTGGCAGAAAAGATGAAATTGAACCTTAGATGATTGGGTGTACTAACTATAGGTTGTTCCAGAAAGGACAGGGTTAGCCGGCACGTGCTAGGGAGCAGAAATCCCTTTGCTACACGGTTCTCGTTGTGATCATTGATGGAAAATTCTTTTTTGTTTTGCGTTGTTATTATAGACGTACCAGTCATACTTCATACGAGAAAATAGAGGATAAATGAGGTATAAAGCTTTCTAGTATGGAAGATTCCAGAAATCGCCAGACACGGAGGCAGAAAAGATGGGGACAATTTTATTTCAATTCTACAAGAATAAATCCAATACATACGTTGTAGAGTGGACGTACTAAAACATTGTTTATTATTAATAGTGTGGTTTAACCATGAAATACACTTTAACAGCGTTCTACACATTATTATTCTTTATTTTGGACGTTTTTCTTCGCCTTTTAGGTGCATCACACAATATTACACTGTTAAACTTTGTTTCAAGGGTTTATGACGCCCACTCTTAAAGTGTTCAATAGACAATGTGAAAAAAGCTATAAATAAGCATAAATTATAATCTATTTTGTACTATGTTTGCTTCGCGGAGTGCGCTCATTCTACTAAAGGTGCAAGTAATAATTTATAATTGCTACTGGTAATATATATGAATGAAGATCAATGTCTCCCTTGTCATTCAATCGAAAAGTTACATCACTGCTGGAAATCAAGCTTGTCTAAATGGACGTAAAAATATCAAAAATGTCTATACCGAAAATGATAGTGAAAACGCAGTCGTCCAATATTGAGCGGCTAAGCATGCTGGATATCCTATTTAAAGTATTCTGCTCTCATTTTATATTCCAAGGCCACCATAGTGTATTTAAGAATTATAAAATTTTTCATATATAACGCGCGCTCTGATTGGCTGGCGACCGTGTTTATATCAGAGGACAGAGACACGGCTTATATAATTTATAAAATTTTATATACTCGAGAAGCAAGAGAAACACTCGCTACGCTCGTGTTCCTAAGCTTGCTTCTCTCGTGTTTTTCGAACTCGCTACGCTCGTGTTCCTAAGCTTGCTTCTCTCGTGTTTTTCGAACTCCCACCGTTTTTATATCAGAGGACAGAGACACAAGCGGCCGTTTATATTTCTTTTATAAAATTTTTCGAGCGAAAAGAACATTTTKCCGGTAAGCCGTGTCTCTGTCCTCTGATATAAACACGGTCTTCAGCCAATCAGAGCGCGCGTTATATATCAAAAATTTTATAATGGGTGTTATATCAAAGGTAAAGGATGCAGTGATCTTCATTGATGATCGATACAAAGATAGTAGGAAATCTATATACAAACTGACGGCATTTACAATTATCTCGAGACAATAAACAGGGAGGACCCTTGGGGGGTGTTCCAAATGAAGGAATATAGCACCAGTAGTCAT